AAGCGTTAAAATACAAAATGAAATTTGGAGTTTCATTTAATTTTCACACACACACTAAAAGAGGTATCAGGTGGTGCCTTGATCTCTCTCTCTGTCTCTCGCCTGTCTTTCTGTCTTTTTCTCTCTCTTTCTTGTTTAAAACTAAGACTAGTGTTCCTTAGGGCTGACATTGAGGTATGTAGTGAAACTGCAGGTAAGAGCTGTTATACTACCTCAGCTCATCTGAAGCCTGCCCCTAGAGACTCATTTATTTTGCGAGATTATTATTCAAATCATTAGGAATAAAGTATATTTAAATCTACGGAAGGAAGAGGATGAGTAGCTGTTGGACAGCAACTAAATCCAACAGCCTGGTTGACCAGTCTAGCAACGAGGAGGGTCTGGTCGAGGACCGGGGTGCGGTGACTCTAAGCCCCGAAATCATCGCAAGGTAACTGCAAGGTAAGGTATGAGCCGGTAGCCAATTGTGTGTCAGAGCCTTCATGTGATCGGTTGAACTGATCTCCCGTGTACCAACCTGTTGAGTGAACAAGATTCAGACGTGAGTCAGTCTAGGAATGATTGTTCGGTGATTACCTCAGACTCACACTACACTGCACATATCCCAATATTTCCCCGAATTTAGAACTACATTATCCGTCTCCTGGTGTTGACTGCTTGCCCGTAAAATATTAAATCCCCAACGTTGTGTAACTCGCCATCACACCAAGATATGGCACTCAGCCAAAGCATGTTCAGATGGCAGGATGCCACACTGGAACAAGTCCCTATTTTATACACAGAGAAATCACAGTAATGTGATATATCAATGAGACAATCCACAGTAGCTGTGATGAGGATTCGAATCTATGTGCTGGGTATTCCCAAACGCACGTTCTAGACGACTAGGCTTCGACATGGTCAAAATAACTGCAACCTGGTATTCTGCTGAATTCACGAGGATTCCCGAGAATCCTACTGAATCTGAATCAGGGTTTCTTTTGACCGCGTCATCCCCCTCCGTTTCCAACCGTTGCCGTCGTGAGGGGCCTTGTGTGCTGGGCCGTGAAGCTGTTTGGGACAGCTTATCCTCTGTCCTTTTCAAGCCTAATACTCTTGTTGCTGTCCTTACCAGTTTTTCCTGGTAAGCTTTTTCCTCTTCCACATGTTTAATTTTTCCTCCCCCACCTCTTCTCCTTTCGGATTGTTCTCTTCCTGCCGACTTTTTGCCATTCTTGATTGTTCTTTCTGATATCTTCTTCTGTTTTGACGCCGGGTGTTTGGGGAGGGACACTCTCACCTGTAGAACTGTGGTACCCGACGTTGTCGAGCGAAGGGACGCTTTTATTGTCAAACATTGCCTTCGTTACTGAGCCGATCTTGACGAACTGACGGTTCTTAAGGTGACGACTGCGGGGCGTATACCCATGATGCACCCCTGGGAGGGGGGAGGGCCCGTCTTGTCGGGTGTCCAACCCGTTCTCGCACTTTCGTATAGTCAATATTGACATTAAATACATGCATATGTGACATACTAATTTATTGTGAATATTTTAGTTTACCTTGAAAAGCTTCATAGAAAACACCGACCTTACCTAACCTTCTTAGTATGTTAAGATAAGCATCTTATTGCTTCGTAATTACAATTATTACTTAACCTATACCTATAATAGTTTAAGTAATAATTGTAATTACGAAGCAATAAGATGCTTATCTTAACATACTAAGAAGGTTAGGTAAGGTCGGTGTTTTCTATGAAGCTTTTCAAGGTAAACTAAAATATTCACAATAAATTAGTATGTCACATATGCACTTATTTAATAAGTCAATATTGACTGAAGAAAGTGCGAGAACGGGTTGCGGGTGTCCTATCCTCTAATTGTGGCTCCATTGTGGGTATGGCGGCTTATTTGTGGATTAATTTGTTTTCTGTTCGTATTTATGCCTTTTTCTGACCCTCCTTTAAATTAAATTAACTTCTCAGACTCGTGGGACTAGACCCCCGAGTTGGACTGTGCTGGAAGGCTTGGCTCTGTAGCCCCCGCTACATTGGGCCCCGACCACGCAACTTCTCTGACTCCGTGCTTCCCTCCCACCTCTGTGACAGGGTTGAGCACCAAGCCGCCAGTGGTGACAGTTGTGACAACAAGAGACTGAACCTGGCGTGGTTCGGTCTCTTGTTGTCACAACTGAACCTTTTACCCTCTCTCTTACCAGGGGTGCTCGGCGCCGTCACCTCCGCACTCGCGTCATTACTTCCCAATCTAATACTTTTCAGGCTTTGTTTGATCCTGCTACGTGGACTATATATTTTGATCTTAGTCATATTGACCCTACTCGTTCTGATGATTTATTCCTCCATAAACACCCTGTTGATTTGGTGGCTACTCTCGTCACTTTTAATCCCTCCCATACTGGTACCCGTGTTGTTGCAGCCTCTTATCAAGAGGCGGCTGACCACCTGGCTTCGCTGTTCTGCATTGGGAAGACCCCTGCTCGGATCTCCAAAAATGCCTGGTTAAATGCCAGACATTGGCACAGTTCTTCTCCCGCACCATGTTGCGACTGGTGACAGGGAACTGAAAAACTGCCACGAGGATATTAAATATATTCTTGAGGCCCAAGGCCATTCTATCCTCCAGATAGATACGTTCACTCGACCCCCCCTAGTATTAGTCGTTATCAGCCTCTCCGCGTTGTGAAGGTCACGTTTGAGAGTACACCCCCCCCCCTCTCTCTCTCCTCGCCTCTGCAACAGGTGCTGGAGATTTGGGCATGGTCCCTTCCGGTGCACCAGTGCCTCTATGCCCCTTGTGTGGCTCCTCGGGTTATTCTAAGACGGAGTGCTCTTCTTCCCCACCTCACTGCATCAAGCCTATCCTGCCTTCTCCCGCGCATGTGTGCGCTACCAAATTAAGGAAGCCGTCCTCAATTGGAAACATCGTGATGATTTCTTTTCCTCGGGCGTCTCGCCTCAAGAAAGACGACCGTAAGATATTACGGGTGATATTAAGATACCCATCTTATGGCCTATCTGTTCCATGAATATCCAGGTTCGCCCTCTTTCTCTGGCATGTCTTATGCTTGTGTGTTGCGTTCCACTTGTCCTCGCCCTCTCCAACTTTCTCAGTTTCTCAACCGTTTCCAAGCCTTGAATCCTGACACCTCCACCTCTACCTCACCGACTCCTTCGCGATCTGGGCCAGAGGGTCCTCCTCCTCCTGGTTCTCCGTCTGGTCTTTCCTTCCTTCCCGGTCTCCCTTGTCTCCTGTGCCCAAATCACGTCTGAATTTGGCCGTTTGCCAAACGTCATCAAAACCATTAATTTATAGTTTCCTCTCCTAACCTAAGTTAACAGGGGGGGCTCAGTCCGATTGATAAAGATTAAGCCACACACACGAGGTGGCATGGGCATGAATAGTCCGTAAGGGCTCAGTCCCTGAGCCCATTATATAAGTATATATGTGCGCCTCTAACATTTTCCACTACCGCCCACAGGATGGGTATGGGGTGCATAATAAATGAACTAACCAAACTAGCCTAACCGAGTAGGTTAGGAGACACCCTCCTAACCTAACCCCTCCTACGAGGGGCCTCGTAGCCTGGTGGATAGCGCACAGGACTCGTAATTCTGTGGCGCGGGTTCGATTCCCGCACGAGGCAGAAACAAATGGGCAAAGTTTCTTTCACCCTGAATGCCCCTGTTACCTAGCAGTAAATAGGTACCTGGGAGTTAGTCAGCTGTCACGGGCTGCTTCCTGGGGGTGGAGGCCTGGTCGAGGACCGGGCCGCGGGGACACTAAAGCCCCGAAATCATCTCAAGATAACCTCAAGATAACGAGTAAGCCGGAGGACTCCGACAGAAAACGGGACTACGTCATTTTCATGAGGCAATTTCATTTCAAATTACGTCTATTACGTCACATTGGCAAACGAGCGAAAGAGAGACGTAATTTTAAGAGGACGGGTTGAGCGACCATTCCCATCCCAGTATTAGTACAGGGAAATGTATATGAAATTTGCAATATTTAACCTGTAATGGAATTCGTCGTTGTTGAAAGATAAGATACAGTCAAGCTGTTATTGATGTTCTTTGTAAGTCAGTGTTAGTTTTGGTGTTCATAATGTTCCCCTTGAGTTCACAACATCACGGTCATAAATATCCTCTATAGTGGTGATGTTACCTTTCTCAGCATGGTCGCTCTACACTGATGTTGTCTTGTAGTGACACTGGTACTACCACCAGCTGGTTGCTCCTTCTTAATGAACGTCTTGGAGAAAGGAACATAAGTGTGAAATCATCATTCAGGTGTGGACCTCTTTAAGTCACTGAATATACAGTTTTGTTACCATGGTGACCCCGAATCATATGTTACCATGGTGACCCCAAGTCATGTGTTACCATGGTGACCCCGAGTCATATGATAACATAACTCCAAGTCTTATGGTGTCACCACTGTATAATAACACAAGCACAATGTATTCACGTCAACAGCATATTGTAGTATACATAGCCAATTTATTCTGGTCATTTAGAATCTTGCATAAATATATATCTGGCAGAACACAATTTTTGGTTAATAAACGTACCCCGAGGTCGATAATATTTAGCGTTGGATATTTGCGTTTGCAAAAAATAATAACAATATTTTATAGGTGTCTAATAATGTGTGTGTGTGTGTGTGTGTGTGTGTGTGTGTGTGTGTGTGTGTGTGTGTGGTAAATTACAAAGAAATAAACATGTAATGAATAACGTGAAAATGTATAACCATGAGGGGAAAATTAAACAAGAAATTACTTGAGTATTCTTGTATTAATCAACACATCTTCAAAAGCAAAATCAATTCAATACAACACTTGAATATATAGGCTGGAAACAGGTGACATGTGAAGTAGGAAAACAATAAAATGTTATTTTGGTTGTAAGTCATATTACTAAGATGACTAATCAATAACACACACACATGTGGAAGGTGACATATGACCTTAAAACCTCATCTTCCCTTTTCCTGCCTATACATGGGTATACATTTAAATTATTTACATATAGGGTATATTATTTATTTATGTATACTGTATTATTATATATTATATATATATATATATAAAATTGTGTGCGTTTGTCTTTGTGTAATGACATTTTTTCTTTCCTCGGTGTTTTGTACAATCTCGCCTCTCAAGAATTGTATAAGAATTGTTGCTCTTATACATAACAGAATTGTATTTCCCTACATGATATATAGACAGAATGATTAAATTATCAAGGTGCATACAATTGTATATTTTATTTTCCATATTTTGTTTAAAATTTATGTAAAAATTTAACAAAATTCCCATTAATTAATTGTAATGAGTGAACCGAGGGTGACTGCTCCATCCTCAGTTATATGATAATGGAAAAAGCCCCCATTGACCCCCTGGGAAAGGGAGGGTGTCAGGGAGCCACTAAAAGGGGAACTGTCAGGGGAAAAGAGCCAAGCCATTACAACTATATGGCACTGGCAAGGTGTCAGGCTAAGGATATGGGATGGGACGGGGGGGGGGTAAGGAATGGTCCCCAACCACTTGGACGGTCAGGGATTGAACACCGACCTGCACGAAGCAAAACCGGCGCTCTACCGTCCAGCCCAAGTGGTTGGGAGCCACCGGGCTCACCCAGAAATTGGCATTTCATTACATTCAACATTGGTTTTCTGGTGAGACCCCCCCTTGTGGGACCCCTAAAACTATCTACCCGTGGAGAAAGAAAACAAGGAGACTAACAAGGGAGGGGAGCACTGCAGACATCACAACGAAGAAGAAAACACGGGACATGCACAAGCCAAGGCCGATGGCGAGGAGAAACATTGACAAGATACCTGGCTGCCAGGACCCTGTTCAACTGCTAAAGCCTCCACATCCAAATCCATGTATCAGCCCAAGACATATTAGCATATACAACTGAGAGAGCAGTAAATTTCCAAATGTCATGGGAACGAGGGTTATCCTTTAGTTGGCTAGACCAGCTTAAGGCTGTTCGAATACTAATATCTCCCCGAGATATTAAATCGGGTAAATGCGAATCTTGAAACAGGGAACCATAGAAACAGGTTCAACCTACACGGCATCCACCAAGGCAGAACCAGTTGTGGGGAAATTTGATAAAACTCTACTTCTAATTTGAAGGATGCTTCTACTTCTAATTTACTTCTACAATAATTCAAGGACTTAGTCTGTGGGATTTAAACTCCTTTGGAAGTACGCTAACTACAAGTTTCTACTGTAAACAACAGATTAATTAATTAAATAATTAATTAATTAATGAGCACTGATTAATTATTTCCTTATCTTGGCCTAACTTAATTACTTGTTGGTAACAATTGTCTACAGCATAACACTAAATAATAATACAGTAATTAAAGATTTAGATAATCAAAATATCAAAACTAAAACAACTCTTATTCTTTAAATATTTCAATTGATAGGCTATATATGATCATACTAATAAAATACTTTAAAACGATATGATATATATGATCATACAAGTAAAATATTTCAAATGATAGGCGATATGTGATCAGTACAGTATTAATAATACTGTTCTCACATTAAGATTTAATACAAACATTTAATTGGTTTTAAAACTCATTCTGTAAACCATAATCAAGAGAGGGAAATAGTGGCATAAAATCCTATCAGAAATGGTAAATTTAAATACTGTATTGGACTCCGGGTGCCCGAGTCTGCTTCTGTATTGTCCAGGCTCAATTGGCTCACCTTTGAGCTAGGCACAATTTGTGTCTTGATGAACTGTGATGACTATGAGGCATCGTGGCCGGCTGCTAAGTAAATCTCTAGTATTTCATTGGACACTTATTTTATATTGCAATTCACAATTCAGTATGATCTTAAGACAACTTAAGCATATTGTGATTCCAAGTGATGATCAGAAGTGTCCATTAATGGAGGATCACATGCAAGTTTTTTTTCTTGTGAGGGAATCGAGTCTTCCCTCCTACTGGAGTGGGGGAGGGGATGCCGATTAGTTACATTTTATTATCAACATTTAAACAAATATATTCTAATCTGGCTAATAACTAAATACCTGAATTAGGATATATTTTAGAAACAATATTATATCAATGAATCATACTCACAAGAGTAGAAGTTAAGTGGATACATTTAAAGTTAGTTGTCATGACGTTTAATGACATCATGGTTGGGTAGACTAGCTAGTGGTTGCCATGGGAAGGTTCATGCCCTGTGGACTATAAATAATCTATTGTCTAATGGAATGGTGAATATTTCCCACACCAGTGGATCAAACCGATACGAGCCAGATGTCCTCCATGGCTGCATCAAAAGGGATGAACCATGAATGGTCAGTGCAAACCACAAGCAGAACCATCTTCCCGTGACAAGTACAGTAATTGTGATGTCAAGATGAAGAACAACTCTTAGTGCAACAGCCTGGGAATCAGATCCACCCAAGAATCTTGACCAATAGCAGCAGTCAAAGTCTTCACTTAACACCTGCAACAGAAAAGAATCCTTCCAAGGAGGTTTGGAGGGTCGGGAAAAAGGAGGGTTGAAAAGGCAAATGTCCTTAAACTCCAGTGGGGCCTAAAGACTCAGCTGCCTCTGCCATCAAAGTGGATGGGACCACCTTAAAGAATGCAGAGCTACACCCCGAGCAAAACTTGACCTGGCTCAGATGCTTAGGAGCCAGAACCAGGAAGCAGAGGGAGGGGGGGTCAGAAGCAGGATGAACCACACCCACAGAGGAAGGAAGAGAAGATACAGACTTGGTTCAGATCAAGGTCACCAACTCCTCAAATTCCAGGTCCTTAAACACCATATGGGCTATCTGCGGGGCATCTGGACGATCAATATGCCGCAAATGCTGAACCCTAAGAAAACGGCAGCTGCCTGGAAAGGTTCCAAACTCAAAGCTGAATTAGGGCCGAGACTCAGTGAGACCAAACCTCAAAAGACTCGGGATCATAGGTGTCGCCGATACAGCAGGCAGCATGGAGGAGGCAGATAGAATCAGTCAGGTAGTAAAAACGATGAATGCCCTTCATGCTTGCACTCGGTGAGTGAAAGCTCATCAGGCCAATCCATAACAGATTATGTCAAAGACCCCACAAGGGATTTATTAGGATCTGAAGGTAGCTAACCAAATAGAAATCCCAAGTACTAGAGCCATTTACCAGAAAAACAGTCACCAAATGCAGCCAAAACAAATAGACTACAAATGGCGACCATGGCATGCCGTATAAACAAGCAAGCGAACCCCAGCACTACTAAAAGAATGCCCCCTGAATCTCTTGTTCAATGTGCATCATTTACAGAGTTTTGGGCAGTTTTCTTCTGTGAACCCACAGTTGTCTGTAAAGCTTCAATGACTTTCTGGATGCTTTCCTGGTGGGGAGGCAAATTGTCACTTGTTCCCTACACCTGTGAGGTGGGGCCAGGTTCTGACTATGGTCTTTTGTAGACCAAGCAGGACTTCTGCAACTGTTGTTATCTTTTAGCATGGAACTATCTTAGCAAGATATTGTCAGGAAGCCACCAAGGGGCTCCCTCAGAAAAATAAATATTGTAAACAGGACTGATTTGAAACAAGGCTTAAGTGAATGGCTTTAAAAAAAAATTAATTTGTGAAAAGCTTAACACTTAGTCTATGTAATGAATGAGATACTGGTGTGAGTATTTTGATATCATGTGGTACTAGATTTCCAAACACTACTAAATATGAAAAGTATTATGAAAAAGCTACAAGTCTCTTCAATATGGTCTTATCCATCCTCTCCACAGATGTTCCCCTTACTCTGACCTAAAGAGGACCTCAATATAAGCCTAAAGCAGGCGATGAGTCACAATAACGTAGCTAAAGTAAGTTGACCAGACCACACACTAGAAGATGAAGGAACGACGACGTTTCGTTCCGTCCTGGACCATTCTCAAGACAATCGACTTGAGAATGGTCCAGGATGGACCGAAACGTCGTCGTCCCTTCACCATCTAGTGTGTGGTCTGGTCAACAAATAAGCTTGAAGTATACACCCAGTATACACACAGGCTTCCCATCCCTGACAAAATGAACTATTAACATTTGTTAAAGTGTGATACTTGAGCAAAGATTGTCTAAACTAAAAACTTTAAGTAGTAAGAGTGCATCTTAAACAAAACATCACTTAGGAAACATACTTGGCACAATGGTAAACAATGCTGGAGTATAAGATTTAGATAATAACTATCACAAGAAATTTACATCAGAAAAATACTTCAAAAGTTAAAATAAAAAAGCATTAGAGAGATTCCTAGACTATATTATTATAATACATTATATTATATAATATAATGCAGAACACTATAATATTCTGCAGAATAAAAAAAAATAATTACGAGATTCAATGTAAGAACCTTTGCCCTAATTGCAAGAGGCAACTGAAATGCATTTGATATATATACACACACAATATAACCTCTTTCTGTCCCCCCCCCAAGACTAGCATAATATCATAAAAGAGGAACGGGCCATACAAATACTTTTCAGGGATTTATTTCTTCTTTTGGATTTGGTTAAAATAGTTACCCACCTTCAGCACAGAGCTGCACCAACTCTAATAAGACTAATGGAACATATGCTATAATTCCCTGGTATTAAAATATAATAAGATCTCTTCATACAAATTTCCCCTTTTATATATATACAGTATTATTGTATTTCAGTTCAAGGAATATTACCGTCTACTATTATGAACGAATCCTGTGACAATACACCGAGTGAAAAGGATCACCTGTGTAATGTGTTTTATCATCAGAATGTCCGACTATGAAAATATGATCCAGCAATGTACTGAAGTAATTAAAAAACTATCTAAACTAATTTTTTAAACATTTCACTTTCCTACTGAGCTGGACCTTGATATAAAATTTACATAAAAAATATATAGCAACACTTTGATTATGAAATACTATATTTTATATCACACATACGTACTTCAGCACATAACATAAACCCGATATAAAAATTAGAGTACACGAGGGATTTGACAAATAAATATATATATACTGTATATATACTGTACTGTACTACCAAATAAACACATGCAAAAATAATTTAAAACATTTCAATAAACAGCACGAGCATAAACACTTATGATTCATGCAACGTAAGTGTTGCAAGATGATTCGATAATTGATTAAATTAGAGACTATCATCATCAAGAAGTTGGTAGAGTGATAATCCTTAAGAATTTACACAAAATTATAATACTGCATTATCATAATCTGAAGAAAGAATGAAGACGACAACCATTATTCTCTCTCTCGGTACCTATGTCTAACACTCTGGCTATTGGAGATTCATACAAATATTTCCCTAGAACAAACTAAAGGAAGGCACATAACCAATACTCATTTCTGAGAACCTTTAATTGTCAGTCTTCATTTTATTATCACTTATTAGCTACTAACAAGTTGCTTTTCCACAACAAAATGCTGAATAAGGCAGGCATTGCTAAGGTCGGCGAGTAATTTTTTGTCACAATCGACTGCATGTTACAATCGACGGCACGTTTCATATTTACTCATTATTATCCATTTCTAAATAACATGTACATAAAACCTTCCTTTAAATGCTGTGTGACTATGGTTTTAAAGTCTGTTGTTTTGTTATAAATTACCTGCTATATGTACAATGCCTGCATGATATACTGCATGTGCAGATATCCATTTAAGATATACATTGGAGTTCCCGTTTTACGAACATTCACCTCACGAACATTCGTCCACATGAACATTCACCCAGGTCTCTATGTACCCCTATCATGCATAAAATCATTGTACTAACTCGCTGGAGCAACCCTTTGAATTTCCTGTCAGCAACATGGAGTACAGCTTGGGTTGTACCAGTACAACCAGTATGGGTTGGGAGTTCCTGGCAGGAAGGGTGCAATGGGGGAGGAAGGTTCATGGGGGTTGTAGGGGGTGTGTGGGTGGGTGCCTGGGTGTGAGAGATACACTCCCAATACCTAGTGGCCTCAAATCCTCTAAGACCCCACACAAAACATGATTTGTGTTGGCCATGACCACGATGTGTTTACTCTGTTAGTGAGGTGGGGCTCCTGGGCTGGAGATAGGAGGGTGGGGAGACGTTTACTCGTGAGGCCAATTACAAAATGACGTTCCACCAATACAGTGCACATGTATTTTTATTTATTTATTTATTCATATAATTGTACCACTTCGCTCTTCAAAAACAGCTAACTTTGACAAACAGGTTCAAGGTAAATAATGTTTACCTTGAACTTTTGAATTTTGAATTACCTTGAAAAATTTTGAATTTTGATAAGTTTTGGTAGCCTGGAAACGCATCTTTCCTTTATAGCTTTGCACCTATGGAAAATCACAATCTGTGTTCCGAACAAATGCTTTACAAACACGGTCCCAGAATGTAACTTGTTCGTAAAATGGGAACTGCCTGTATATTAAATATTGCCGCAAACGTTACACACAGTAGTACATATTACTCTTTATGTCTGAACACACTGATCAAACAGTACAGAGCACTGTAGTGTGCCAGATCTTACTTGTACAAAAATGAAATAAAAACAATAATGCCTCGCAAATGCAACCTGGTTTATCAATAAAAAAAAAAGGCCTGTTATCTGAAAATAAAAAAATATAGATGTTTTCAAATGCAAATACTCTACTAGTGTATATGAATATACAGTACATTAATTTCAGTCATATCAGTATGACTGCACCTTAATATTGTGACTTCTACTCGATTATGTACCTTATGTGAAAATATTTCCAATGTCTTTTTATGGTTTTAATATACTGTATAGTACTATAATAATTCAAGCTTACAGGCCGATACTGGAAGTTAGGACTTACTAACTGCATTCCTTACCATCCAATAAGCATTAGTTGAAAAGTGGAAGATTATAAAAGTCATAACCCCTTCTACCCCATACTGCTAGTAGAACATAAACTACATGGTATGCGCCTGGGATGAAGCATATGAGACCGGCAATGATGAAAACTGGACCAGATAGGCTCTCGAGCGGAATTGCTTCTACGACTATACCAGTAATGAGTAATACTGCAAAGAAAACAAAATTAACAATGAACACTTGTGTAAACTTTTTGTACAGATTATTATTATATTTTCAACTCTATTTACAGTTTGCATAGTTCTTTGGTAGATATTGCTAAGGCCTGTTGTACGGCCATTTAATCGAGATTGGGCATCCCTATAGTAGGTAATAGTATATTGATCAATTCAGTCATCAACGGTAGTTAAATAAAGACTTGGGTCATATCTAGTTTTTTATCTACTGATAATCTTAAAACTATATAATCACAACTTAAAACTAACTTATGCCCATAATGAGAAGGGTGAAGGCTCCAGCAACTATTCTCCACTTTTCCCGAACTTTTGGATGAAGAAACCACCATCGTGGAGATTCTGAGAAGTTGCTTCCGCAATCTCCAGGTATTAGAGAGTCACTGTCACGAGATATTGCCTGTAAGACAAACAGGCATACACCTTAATTAGCATTTATTTTAATGATTCATGAATTTTACATCATGAGCTATTCTGCACATTCTTCTAATCAAATAATTATAAAAAAAAAAAGTATTAAACCAGAATGGCCATTCTGGTTTAATGGCTATACTGAATGATTACTTTATGAATTGCAAGTATGCAATTCACAAAGTAATCTTACCGGTAGTTAATTATAATGTATATAAAAAATCAGCGTTGAATGTAATGAAATGACATTTTCTGGGCAAGGCCCGGAGGATCCCCGGAGCTATTCGGGCTGATATGAATGTATTAGACCCTGGCATCAGTCAAGCGAATGGAGTTCTAGGCCTACCGGGGAGCACGAGCCAGAACCTGGCCCCCCCTTCAGAGAGGCATGAGGAGCAATGGCCTATAGATATCCCCGTGTGGTTGGAAGCATTCTATACCTACCATCGACTGGGTCAGGCACCCAGAATGGCAGGCACCCCAAAACAAACCCTATCTGTTTAAAAAATTACTACCAAAAGCCAAACTATTGGACAGAACTTCCCAAACTAAAAACTAGCAAGACGTCACAACCGTCACCGTGCTGCCGTCTGTGCAGCTATCCCCCTCCCTGGGAGGGGGAAGGGGGTAGCCCCAGACCCCAGCACCGGCTATCCTAACCCCTAGTTCTGAGGCTGGATGTTAAAACATGCGAAAACCACTGATCGGAGGGAGGGAGGGTTACCAGGGAGCCTCCGAGTCTCACCCAGAAAATGGTATTTCATTACATTAATCATTGGTTTTCTAGGGGGAGCCCCTTCGGCTCCCCGGAGCTACTTGTCTTGAGATTATCTTCGAGATGATTTCAGGGCTTAGCGTCCCCGCGACCCGGTCCTCGACCAGGCCTCCTTTTTGTTACACCCCCCTTCCACCCAGGAAGCAGCCCGTAGCAGCTGTCTAACTCCCAGGTACCTATCTACTGCTAGGTAATAGGGGCAGCAGGGAGAAAAACTTTTTGCCCATTTGTCTCCGCCTCCATCGGGGATCGAACCCGGAACCTCAGGCTTACGAATCCAAAGCGCTGTCCGCTCAGCTGTCAGGCGCCCGATTTACTTAACCAAAGATAAAAACAAGAGGGACTTACTCGGGAGGTGATCGCCACTCGCTCCTCAACTTGAAGGCGAGACAACTGGATGCAACTACCGACCCAATACAACTCATGCCCGACTAAGGCTAGGAACATTGATTAGGTAGCGAGCGGCCAAAACCATGTTCAACCTTCAAAAACTCCGTGCCCGAATGTCAGCCCAAGACGTGTTACCAAAGATGGCAACCAAAGCAGCAAACTTACAAACGTCATGGGCAAGAGCATAGACTGCAGGCTGGCTGGACCGAATAATTCTGTGGACGACCCAGGAGACCCAATCCCTAGAACAGGGAAGAAGGGGAAACCGAGTCAACCCAAAGTACGGCCCCGGCCACCAAGGCCGTGGTGCGCAGGTAACTGCGAAGAGTTGCAACCGGACACAAAACATGATGCACTCCGAACAAACTTACCACCAGGACCAAAAGAGGAAAAACCTCTGCACTGGAGAAGATTTTGAAGCTCCCCAACCTGACCCCCAAAGGCCAATACCAACAAGAACTTTCGCAAAACAATCTTGAACCGAAGGGGCCACAACAAACTGAGAAGAGAGAAAAGAGAGCACCCGGTCTAACGACCAGAAAGGCTCAGGCGGCACATGAGCAGGCAGGAGGCGAAACAACGCATGAGACAGCTTGCGGAACAGAGCAGAAGTAACTACATCCACCCCGAATGCAAGCTGAAGCGGCTCCACCAGTGCCGCACAATACGAAGCAACAGTATTTGGCATAAGATGACTGTCCTGAAACAACCAGGAAAGGAAGCACAAGACAACCCGATCCAAAATAGAAGAGAACCTATGGAGGGACAAGAAATAATGAAAGGAGCAAAAGGAAACTTCATACTGCTGCCAAGACGAAGCACACAGGTGGGACACCGTCAACGAAGCTACTTGCTCACCATACAAATGGTGATAAACTCGTGCCAGAAAGACCAGACACGAAGACCTGAGGAAAGATAGAACCAGCTATGTAATGGACTGGTTCAATCTGCTGAAAGAGGCGAAGCCACGGGAAGATTCCTGGGCTCAGACACCAAGCAAGCAGCACCTGAAACGAAGGCTGGACCGGCTACCAAGGGGCCAACAGGACTACTCTCCCTTGGTAGGTCTCCAAGTGAGCTAAGACCTGGAGCAACAGCAGAAATGGGAAAAAGAGGTACAGATAACCCCACCTCGACCCGTCCTGCCTGAAGGCATCGACCCCGACAGCCTCGCAGTCGGGGTAGGGCGCCACATATAATGGGAGACACCGCGACCATACCGACGTGAAGAGGTCCACCACCTCAGCCCGTACGTCCGGCAGAAGAGCCAAACCCCGAGAACTCAGTAGACGAGTCACCCAAAGAGACCAGCCCCAAAGCACCAAGGACCACAGCAAACAGCAAAAGACCACGGCGGAGGTAGATCCCGAGCAACTTGTGGAAAAGAACCCCTAGCCACAAGGGCTGTACTTACAGGACACGTAGGGAGGAGAACTCTAGGCGCATGCAGCCCGAGTACTGATGAAAATACTCCTGGCTCGCACCAACAGACAGGACCACACCACAAGCCACAGCACTAAAACAAGTCTGAAGCCAGTCTCACGACCGCCAGGTCTCACATTAGCCACAGAACTAGGGAACAAATGCACTCCACTCCAGGTTGCAACTATTTTGACCATGTCATGGCACAGTTGACCAAGGCGCATCTGGGAACATCCTGTGCATAGGTTTGAACCCTTATCACGGCCCTTGTGGATTTCTTTATTTGATACATAATGTTATTCTGATTTATGTGTGTACAGAACAAGGGGTTTGGATAGTTGGTGCAGGAGTCTGGGGCTCCCCCCTTCCACCTCCCGGGAAGGGGGGAGCTGCGCAGATGGCGGTGTGGTGACGGTTGTGACGTTATGCTCGTTTGCTCATTTTTTGTTTGGGGAGTTCTGTCCAATAGTTCAGCTTTCGGTAGCCAATTTTTAACCAGACAGGGTTTGTTTTGTTTTGAGGTGCCTACCTTTCTGGGTACCTAACCCGGTCGATGGCAGATATAGAATGCTTGCAACCACACGGGGGTTTCTATAGGCCATTTCTCCTCTTGCCTCTCTGAGGGGGCCAGGTTCTGGCTCGTAGTCCCTGGTAAGCCTAACACTCCATTCGCTTGACTGATGCCGGGGTCTAATACATTCATATCAGCCCGAATAGCTCTGGGAAGCCGAAGGGGGGGGGGGGACACCCCCCAGAAATATGCCAATATACAAGCAGAAAGACAAGTTTTCTACAGTACTGTATATGAATTGGATCCAATTCACTGCGTATCTTATCAAGTGGCAACTGATTTAATGGAACTGTTGTAAAGCAAATTTTTGTACAGGTAAGTATCCACTTGATTTAATGGCCTATTTGGGGCTGTACCCAGATCGTTAAATGTGGAGTTCCGGGATTTCTGAAGATGTAAAGTGTTGTAATGTTTCAAGTAACATTCAGGTAAGATATATTTTGTACAGACAGCCACTTGGTCCACCAATCTATTGCCTTCTACCCTGTGACGTCACAGATTCACGGCACATTATTTTGATTTGTCATGAAGCAGGAGTATTCATTCTGTGACTTTGGACATATTTGTGCAGGAATGGAGGGAGGGAGGGAGGGAGGGAGGGAGGGAGGGAGGGAGGGAGGGAGGGAGGGAGGGAGGGAGGGAGGGATGGATGGATGGATGGATGGATGGATGGATGGAGGGATGGATGGAGGGAGGGAGGGATGGAGGAATGGATGGAGGGAGGGATGGAGGAATGGATGGAGGGAGAGATGGAGGAATGGATGGAGGGAGGGATGGAGGAATGGATGGAGGGAGAGATGGAGGAATGGATGGAGGGAGGGATGGAGGAATGGATGGAGGGAGAGATGGAGGAATGGATGGAGGGAGGGATGGAGGAATGGATGGAGGGAGGGATGGAGGGATGGATGGAGGGAGGGATGGAGGAATGGATGGAGGGAGGGATGGAGGAATGGATGGAGGGAGGGATGGAGGAATGGATGGAGGGAGGGATGGTAGGATCTTGAGATGATTTCGGGGCTTTAGTGTCCCCGCGGCCCGGTCCTCGACCAGGCCTCCACCCCCAGGAAGCAGCCCGTGACAGCTGACTAACACCCCAGGTACCTATTTTACTGCTAGGTAACAGGGATGGAGGGATGGATGGAAACAGGATGTATGGAGGGATGGAGGGATGGATGGACAGATGGATGGAGGAATGGATGGAGGGATGGACAGATGGATGTATGTATGGTCAGATGGATGTATGTATGGTAGGATGTATGGAGGGATGAATGGAGGGATGGATGGAGGGATGGACAGATGGATGGAGGGATGGGTGGATGGATAACTGGGAGGGAGGGAGGGATGGATGGGTGTTGAGTTGAACTATGTGACCTTGAAGCAGTGTGTGTGTGTGTATATGGGATGTAGGATGGGTGGGGAAGGTGTGTCGGTGGTGGGGAAGGTGTGTCGGTGGTGGGGAAGGTGTGTCGGTGGTGGGGAAGGTGTGTTGGTGATGGGAAAGGGACGGGCTCACTCCGAAAACCCTAACACACTCGACCCCATTAGCCAGATTTGTTTCTTAACCACTGTGCTGCTCGCCTTCCAAATACGGCACCTCCCCCTGTGCATGAGAAATAAATTCTCGGGAAAAAATTCTTTTTGCTTTTTAAAATGTTAAAATACCCTTCCCTGATCACATATGTGAAAAAAAAATCAAAATTGTTCTTACTATGGCCACAATGGGGTCCAGAAAATGGCATGTGACATCACGATTTGGTGGTCGTCCGTAACGTAGACTCCTGAAGCCAGTCGCCCACCAGTTTCAACATGCGCGAGTTGCCACAAATTTTTT